AATTTTGGGGTTTTGAGGCCCTGGGGCTTCTTAAGGGCTCAGAATGTCCCAAAAATTTGGGATTTTTGGGGTCACCGAGGGTCAGAATAGCCCAGAAATTTGGGATTTCTGAGCCCTTGGAGAATCCCAAGGATTGAATGTCCTGAACTCCATGGTGCAGCCCAGAGGTGGGAACGGGGTCAGGAATGGGATTGGGTTGGAATTAGGAATGGGAATGGGGTCCGGAATGGGAATGGGAAGGGGATTGGGTGGGAAAGGATTTTGAGCTTGTCCAGTTCTGATCCTGCTCAGAACGTGCCAGAAATTTGGGATTTTTGGGGGTCCTTGAGCCCTTGGAGAATCCCAGAAATTGGGGATTTTTGGGGGTCATCAAGGGCTTGGAATGTCCCAGAAATCTGGGATCCTTGGGTGCCTCTGAACCCTTGGAGAACCCCCCCCAAAAAAAAAGAATCCCAGGACTCCCTGAGTCCTTGGAGAATCCCAAGGATTGGGTGTGCTAAGACCTCAGAGAATCCCAGAAATTTGGGATTTTTGGGGTCCCCAAAGGCTCAAAAAATCCCAGGCACCGGGAATCCCAAAGGCCCAGAAATTTGGGATTCCCTGAGACTTCCTAAAGGCTCTGAATGGAAAATTTGGGATTTCTGAGCCCTTGGAGAATCCCAAGGATTGAATGTCCTGAACTCCATGGTGCAACCCAGAGGTGGGAATGGGGTTGGGATTGGGATGGGAGTGGGATGGGAATGGGAATGGGATTGGGAATGGGATTGGGATTGGGAATGGGATTGGGAGGGAAAGGATTTTGAGCTCGTCCAGTTCTGATCCTTCTCAGAACGTGCCGGAAATTTGGGATTTTTGGGAGTCCTTGAGCCCTTGGAGAATCCCAGGAATCTGGGGTCCTTGAGAGTCCCCAAGGACTCTGAATGTCCCCGAAACTGAAGGTCCCAAAGAACCCCAGAAATTTGGGATCCTTGGGTGCTCCACAGGGCTTCAGAGAATCCCAGAAATTTGGGATTCCTGGGGCTTCCTAAAGGCTCAGAATGTCCCAAAAATTTGGGTTTTTTGGGTCCCCAAGGGCGCAGAATATCCCAGAAATTGGGGATCCCAAAGGCTCAAAGAACCCCAGAAATTCTGGGATTCCCGAGTGCCCCAAAATGTCCCAGAAATTTGGGATCCCTGCAGGTCCCTGAAATCTTGGAGAATCCCAGAAATTTGGGATTCCTGAGGCTTCCTGTGGGCTCAGAATATCCCAAAATTCTGGGATTTTTAGGGGTCACCAAGGGTCAGAATGTCCCAGAAATTGGGAGTCCCAAAGACTCAAAGAATCCCAAAAATTTGGGATTCCTGAGCATTTGGTGAACCCCAGAAATTTGGGATCTCTGGGCTCTCCAAAAGCTCCGAGAATTCCATGGAATTGTAACTTCCTGAATACCCCATAAATTTGGGATCCCTGATCACCCCAAAAATCCAATCCCACATTCCCAGTGGGGATCCAGGACCAGCCCCAAACTTCTTTGGGAATTCCATCCCAGTCCCAAAATCCCCAAACCTCCCGTTCCCCTCTGGAATTCTGATCCCGTTCCCCGTTTTCCGCAGACGACGTCGTCTCCAATTATTTCACCAAGGGGAAAAGAGGGAAACGCTCCGGGATTCTCCTGATTTTCTCCTTCATCAAGGAAGCCATCCTGCCCAGCAGGCAGAAAATTTACTGAAATTCGGGAATATTTGGGAATATCCAGAAGATCCCCAGCTGGAATATCCCAAATTTTGCCTCTTTCCGGGAATTCTTTGGGAATTCAGAGACTTGGACACTCCTGGAGGTGCCGACCACGCTTGGGGTTTTTCCTGCTGATTCCTTGGGAATGGTTTCATGGAAAATCTTGGGAATTTTGGGAATCTCCCGGTTTTCTCTGCGGGGTTTTTTTTTTGGAGCTGCTCCTGGGTTTTCCTGAGGGTTCCACAGAGCCGTGAATTAAAAAAAATATGGGAAAAATCGGGATAAATCCAGAGGATTCCACGCTGTCCCTTCATCCTGTTATTCCAGAAGGAATGATCCCAAAAAAAAATCAGGATTTGGGCGGTTTAAATCCTGAAAATTCCCGTTTTCCCCTCCAGCAAAGCCTTGGGAAGGGAATGGATTTTCCATGGGAATCTCAGTTTTCCAAGGAATTCCCAGAATTCCGGATTTTTCTGATCCTGCAGACGAGGGGGAATGTTGAGAATTCCCAGATTTTTCCTTCCTCTTCCAAAGGGTGAAAATCCTCCGAGGGAGCTGCAAATTTCTTCTTTCCCTTCAGAAAATTCCCATTTTTTTCTGGATTTTTCCATTCCCACCCCAGCCACGCTTGGGAATTCCTGATCCAGAAGATTTTTTGAGGAATTCCCCAAAAAATTCCTTTGGAAAAGCTGGAATTCTGCTCTGAGACCTCTTGGATTGGGATTTGTTGTTGATTTTTGGGTTTTTTCCCCTCTGGATTTGCTGGAAAATTCCAGGATGGGAATGAGGAAAATCAGGAATTCCTGATTCCTTTGAATCCCGATTTTCCTGGGAATTTTTCCAGCTGTTTTTCCATATTTTTCCAGCCTGGATTTCCAGGAGCTGAATCAGATTTTAGGGAAATCGTGGAATTCCATAAATATTTAACCAGGAAATGGAAATTCGGGATGAAATTTGGGAAAAAACATTCCCAGAAGCACCGGGAATGCGGGAAATTTATGAATAAAATGGAGAAATCCTGGATTTTCCTCGGGGTTTTGTGGATTTTTATTGGGATTGGGATTTTTCCGGGTCCCTGGAAGTGTCCAAGGCCAGGTTGTGGAATTTGGGTGGAATTTTGCCACGGGAATTCCAGGATTTTGGGGGAAATCCATGGATTCAGATCCCATCCCCCATCCTGTGGGATCATGGATTTTACTGAATCTGGAAAGGGCAGGAAAAGGAAATTCCCAAACTCTGGAATTTCCCTGGAAGCATCTGGGAGAGCCCAAAAAAAGCTGGATTTGGAAAAATCAGGGGAAAATACTCCAGGAATTGGGAAAATCAGAGAAAAATACTCCAGGATTTGAAGAAATCCAGGAAGAAACTCCAGGAAAGTTCCAGGATTTGGAGAAATCTGGGAAGAAACTCCAGGATTTGAAGAAATTTGGGAAAAAGCTCCAGGAAATTTCCAGGATTTGGGAAAATCCAGAAAAAAAACTTCAGGAAAGTTCCAGGATTTGGAGAAGTCTGGGAAAAATCTCCAGGATTTGGGAAAAATCTGGGAAGAAATTCCAGGATTTGAAGAAATCTGGGAAAAAGCTCCAGGAAATTTCCAGGTTTTGGGAAAAATCTGGAAAAAACTTCAGGATTTGGAGAAGTCCAGGAAAGTTCCAGGATTTGAAAAAAATCTGGGAAAATCTCCAGGAAAGTTCCAGGATTTGGAAAAGTCTGGAAAAATTTCCTTCTCCTTTTCCAGCAGGAATTTCCCTTTTTTTTTTTTTTTTGGGCCTCTCATTCCTAGTTTTCCTCCTGGAAAATCCATAGGGAAAAGGAGCAGGAATTCAGGGAAATTTGGGAAAAATCCCTCCCAGCCTTAAATCTTTGAATTCCAGCTGGAGGAGGAGGGAAAGAAAACGGGATAAAAACAAATCTGAGGGAATTCCCAGGGAATGGAGGATTTGGGATTCCTGGGAAAGGAGCTTTGGAATGTCGGGAATAATTCCAGGTGGTCTCAAATCCAAGGGAAATAAAGGATTTTATTTGGATGTTGTAGGAAAGGAGGAGCTGCCAGAAGTCCTGTGGGATTTTGGGGAAGGAATTCCCGAATTTTGGGGGAATTTGGAGGGTGGGATGGAATTCCACGGGGTGGGCGGGGTTTGGATCATTCCCAAGGCAAAGCAGCGCGGAATTCCAGGGGATTCCATTTTTTCAGGAATTCCCAGGAGGGTGGGAAATTCTGGGAAAATCCCTGGAAAGGAGGGTGGGAAATTCTGGAAAATGGGCAGGAAAATCCCAGGAAATGAGGATGGAAAATTCCAGGAAAGGAGGGTGGGAAATTTTGGGAAATGAGGCATGAAAATCTGGGAAAGGAGAACAGGAAATTCTGGGAATCAAAAGTGGAAAATCCTGGGAAAATCTTGGGAATGGAGGGCAGGAAATCCTGGGAAATGAGGGAGGAAAATCCCAGGAAATGAGGGCGGGAAATCCTGGAAAGGAGGGTGGGAAATTCTGGGAATTGAGGGTGGAAAATCCCAGGAAAGGAGCATGGGAAATCCTGGGGAATGCGGGTGGGAAATCCTTGGAATTGAGGGTGGGAAGTCGTGGAAAGGAGGCAGGAAAGTCTCGGGGAAAAAAGGGTGGGAAATCCTTGGAAATTAGGATGGGAAAGCCTGGAATATGAGGGCGAGAAATCCTGGGAAAATCTTGGGGAAAAGGGGTGGAAAATCCTGGGAAAGGAGGGTGGGAAAGTTGGGGAAAAAAGGGATGAAAATTCCTGGGAAAGGAGGCAGGAAAATCTTGGGAATTGAGGGTGGGAAAATCCTGGAAAGGAAAGCGGGAAATCCTGGGAAAAAAAGGGTGGAAAATCTTGGGGAAAAGGGGTGGAAAATCCTGGGAAAGGGGGGTGGGAAATGGTGGGAATCGAGGGTGGAAAATCATGGGAATATCCTGAGAATGGAGGTCGTGAAATCCTGGGAAAGAGGGCAAAAAATCTTGGGGAAAAAGGGTGGGAAATCCTGGGAAATAAGGGTGGGAAATTCTGGGAATTGAGGGTGGGAAGTCCTGGAAAAGAGGCAGGAAAATCTTGGGAATGGAGGGTGGGAAAATCCTGGAAAGGAAGGCGGGAAATCCTGGGAAAAAAGGGTGGAAAATCTTGGGGAAAAGGGGTGGAAAATCCTGGGAAAGGAGGGTGGAAAATCTTGGGGGACAAGGCTGGAAGACCCTGGGAACTGATGGTGGGAAAATCCCAGGAACTGAAGGTGGAAAATCCCGGGAAAGGAGGGTGGGAATTCCTGGGAAGCGGCTCCTAGGCGTTGTCCCCGCTGTCCCAGGCCCAGCGGGGGCGGGGACGTGTCCTGGGGAGGCCACCAAGGCCCCGGGGCCGGAAGGGGACACTGGCCGTGTCCGTGTCCTTGTCCTTATCCGTGTCCTGCTCCTGGTCCTTGTTGCGGTTTCCTGGGAAAAGCCGTGAGAGGAATGGCAGCAGGGACAGGAGGGGACAGCTGCCGGTGTCACCTCCACGCCCTCCTTGGGGACATTCCCAGCTCCCTACCCGCGTCTGGCTCCTTCCCAGCTCCGTCACGCTCCTGTGCTCCCGTGGAATTCCGCATGGAATTGGTGCCCGTGGAACTGGTGCCCATGGAATTGGTGCTCATGGAATTGGTGCCCATGGAATTGGTGCCCATGGAATTGGTGCCCATGGAATTGGTGCCCATGGAATTGGTGCCCATGGAATTGGTGCCCATGGAATTGGTGCCCATGGAATTGGTGCCCATGGAATTGGTGCCCATGGAACTCCTCATGGAATTGGTGCCAAAGGAATTGATGCCCATGGAATTCCCCATGGAATTGTTGCCCATGGACTGGTTTCCCATGGAATTGTTGCCCATGGAATTGCCCACGGAATCCCCCATGGACGCGTCCAGGGCCCGGCGCCGCCGCTCCAGGATGGATCCCAGCTCCAGGACGGATCCCAGCTGCTGATCCCGGCTCTTCCGGCTGCGCCTCCGGCTCGGCCTCCGCAGGGCACCCTGGGACAGCCGGGGTCACCAGGGGGACACCGAGGGGACAGCAAGGGGGACAGCGAGGGGACACTGAGGGGACACCGTGGGACAGCAAGGGGACACTGCAGGGACAGCGCGTCAACACCGTGGGTGTGCAAAGGGGACATCTGAAGGGGCACCAGGGGGAAACTGAGGGACACCGCAGGGACAGAATGGGGACACTGCAGGAGAGCATGGCAACACCATGGCAACACCGGGACACCACCGGGACACCGAGGGGACAGCGTGGGGACACCATGGGGACACCAAAGGGACACCAAGGTCACACCATGGGTACACCATGGCAGCATGATGGGACATTGAGGGGACACCATGGGGGCATCAAAGGGACACCAAGGGGACAGCGCTGCCCACCAGGATCCCCTGCAGCTCCAGCGCTGCGCTCCTCCTCTTGCTGGTCATGGAGTCCTGCCGGGAAATTGGGAATGGCTCAGTCCTGGGAATTCCTGACCCCCGGAATGGCTCAATCCCAGGAGATCCTGACCCCCGGAATGGCTCAATCCTGGGAATTCCTGACCCTGGGAATTCCTGACCCCAGGAATGGCTCAATCTCAGGAATTCCTGACCCCGGGAATGCCAGGCCTGCCAGCCCGTTGTCCCCATTGTCACCTGGCACGGGGATGGCCTGGCCCTGGCCGGCCGCAGGACGATCCCGGTCCGGATCCGCTCCAGCATCTCCTGCACGGCCCGGGCATGGATGTCCTCTGTCCCTGAGTCACCTGCCAGGGTGGCACCGCGTGTCACCTCCCCGTGCTGGGGACACCGCGCACGTCATGCTGAGGGTGGAGCTGTCACCTCCCCGGGCAGTGCCACCCTGTCCCCAGATCACCCCCAATGGAGCTCGGGGACCCCTGGAGCACCCCTTGTTCTGGTGACACTTTGGGGACACTCCTGATGTCCCCACCCCCCCGTCACAGTAACATTTTGGGGACATTCTCCATGTCCCCTCTCCTGCCCCTGGTGACACTTTGGGGACTCTGCAGATGTCCCCAGCCTGGTGACACTTTGGGGACACTCCTGATGTCCCCAGCCTGGTGACACTTTGGGGACACTCCTGATGTCCCCAGCCTGGTGACACTTTGGGGACACTCCTGATGTCCCCAGCCTGGTGACACTTTGGGGACACTCCCGATGTCCCCACCCCTCAGGACTCACTTTGCTCCCGGCTTTTCCGCGCCTTCCTCTGCCGGAGGGTGGCCAGGGGGCTGCGGGGGGGACAGGAGGTGACACCAGAGGGGACAGGAGGTGACAAGTCTGTCACCCTGTCCCCTCCCCTTGGGGACAGTCAGGGTGTGGGCAGCGGTTTTCCAAGAATATTCCGGAATGTTGGCCGGAAAAGCCGCCGGGATGTCACCTACTCGGCGGGGATGGCGGTGGCAGCGGGCGGTGGCAGCGGTGGCGGCGGTGGCACCTCGGGGTGGCTCTGAGGTGGCTGTGCCAGCTGCTCCCAGAGCGATCCCACTGGAATGAGGCGGGATTGGGATTGGGGATCCCTCCGGAACTTTCTGGAATCCCCCATGAACCCTCTAAAATCCCCCTGGAATCTGTCTGGAACTCCTCTGGAATATTCTGGAATCCCCTGGAATCATCTGGAATTCTTTGGAATCCCCCTGGATTTCCTCTGGAATCCCCCCTGGAATCTTCTGGAATCCCTTTGGGATCCCCCCAGAATTCCTCTGGGATCTTCTAGAACCCTTTGGAATTATTTGGATCCGTCTGGAATCCCCCCAGAATCTTCTGGAATTCTCCTGGAATCCCCTCTGGGATAATCTGGAAACCTCTGGAATCCCTCTGGAATTTTTTGTAATTCCCCTGGAATCCTGTAAAATCCCCCTGGAATCATCTGGAATCTCTCTGAAATCCTCTGAGATCCCTCTGGAATTCTTTGGAATCTGCCTGGAATCCCCCTGGAATCCCTCTGGATTTTTCCTGGAATCCTCTAAAATCCCCCTGGAATTTTTTTGAATCCCCCTGGAATCCTCTGGAATCCCCCCGGAATCCTTTGGAATTTTCTGGAATCCCTCTGGAATCCCCTGGAACCCTCTGGAATTCCATGTGGAAATTCCCACCTTCCTTCTCCAGCCCTTCCAGCCTCTCCCTCAGCTCCCGCTTCTCCTCCCGCTCCTCCTCCAGCGCTTCCCGCGCCCGCTGCAGCTCCTCCCGCTGCTGCTCCAGCTCCTGCTCCTGTGGGATGTGGGAATTCCGGAATCTGGGAAAACCCCAAGGACGGCAACGCTCCCCGACCCTAAAACTGGGAATTTGGGGAAAAACTCCCGGTGGGTTTTAGGGCAAATCCCCCCTCGCTGTGGGATGAGGTTCCATCAACACCTCGGGAAATCCATGGTGGGAATTCCATGGTGGAAATCCATGGTGGGAAATCCATGGTGGGAAGAATGGCTCAATCTCAGGAATTCCTGACCCCGGGAATGCCAGGCCTGCCAGCCCGTTGTCCCCATTGTCACCTGGCACGGGGATGGCCTGGCCCTGGCCGGCCGCAGGACGATCCCGGTCCGGATCCGCTCCAGCATCTCCTGCACGGCCCGGGCATGGATGTCCTCTGTCCCTGAGTCACCTGCCAGGGTGGCACCGCGTGTCACCTCCCCGTGCTGGGGACACCACGCACGTCATGCTGAGGGTGGAGCTGTCACCTCCCTGGGCAGTGCCACCCTGTCCCCAGATCACCCCCAATGGAGCTCGGGAACCCCTGGAGCACCCCCTGTTCTGGTGACACTCTGGGGACTCTGCAGATGTCCCCAGCCTGGTGACACTTTGGGGACACTCCCGATGTCCCCAGCCTGGTGACACTTTGGGGACACTCCCGATGTCCCCACCCCTCAGGACTCACTTTGCTCCCGGCTTTTCCGCGCCTTCCTCTGCCGGAGGGTGGCCAGGGGGCTGCGGGGGGGGACAGGAGGTGACACCAGAGGGGACAGGAGGTGACAAGTCTGTCACCCTGTCCCCTCCCCTCAGGGGCGGTCAGGGTGTGGGCAGCGGTTTTCCAAGAATATTCCGGAATGTTGGCCGGAAAAGCCGCCGGGATGTCACCTACTCGGCGGGGATGGCGGTGGCAGCGGGCGGTGGCAGCGGTGGCGGCGGTGGCACCTCGGGGTGGCTCTGAGGTGGCTGTGCCAGCTGCTCCCAGAGCGATCCCACTGGAATGAGGCGGGATTGGGATTGGGGATCCCTCCGGAACTTTCTGGAATCCCCCATGAACCCTCTAAAATCCCCCTGGAATCTGTCTGGAACTCCTCTGGAATATTCTGGAATCCCCTGGAATCATCTGGAATTCTTTGGAATCCCCCTGGATTTCCCCTGCAATCCTCTGGAATCCCCCCTGGAATCTTCTGGAATCCCTTTGGGATCCCCCCAGAATTCCTCTGGGATCTTCTAGAACCCTTTGGAATTATTTGGATCCGTCTGGAATCCCCCCAGAATCTTCTGGAATTCTCCTGGAATCCCCTCTGGGATAATCTGGAAACCTCTGGAATCCCTCTGGAATTTTTTGTAATTCCCCTGGAATCCTGTAAAATCCCCCTGGAATCATCTGGAATCTCTCTGAAATCCTCTGAGATCCCTCTGGAATTTTTTGGAATCTGTCTGGAATCCCCCTGGAATCCCTCTGGATTTTTCCTGGAATCCTCTAAAATCCCCCTGGAATTTTTTTGAATCCCCCTGGAATCCTCTGGAATCCCCCCGGAATCCTTTGGAATTTTCTGGAATCCCTCTGGAATCCCCTGGAACCCTCTGGAATTCCATGTGGAAATTCCCACCTTCCTTCTCCAGCCCTTCCAGCCTCTCCCTCAGCTCCCGCTTCTCCTCCCGCTCCTCCTCCAGCGCTTCCCGCGCCCGCTGCAGCTCCTCCCGCTGCTGCTCCAGCTCCTGCTCCTGTGGGATGTGGGAATTCCGGAATCTGGGAAAACCCCAAGGACGGCAACGCTCCCCGACCCTAAAACTGGGAATTTGGGGAAAAACTCCCGGTGGGTTTTAGGGCAAATCCCCCCTCGCTGTGGGATGAGGTTCCATCAACACCTCGGGAAATCCATGGTCGAAATTCATGGAAAGAAATCCATGGAGCGAAATGAATGGAAAGAAATCCATGGAGAGAAATCCATGATGGGAAACCCATGGTGGAAATCCATGGAAAGGAATCCATGGAGGGAGATCCATGGAAAGAAATCCATGATGGGAAATCCATGGTGGGAAATGCATGGAGGGAAATCCATGATGAGAAATCCATGGAAAAAGCAGTGCTCCATGGAAAAATGGGAATGGAGGGGTGGGATCTGGAGCGCGCAGTCCCCTCCCCGCGATGTCCCCAGGCTTGGGGACAGTCCCTCACCCGCTGGCGCCGTTCCTGCCGCGTCTCCTCCAGCTCCCGGCTGAGTTTTTCCAATTCCTGGAGCGCTTCCAGGATTTGGGAGTTGGGCGCGGCGCTCCTCAGCAGGATGGAGCTCTGGCGCTTCGCCTCCTTCTGCTGGACCAGCATCTGGGAGCGCGGGTGTCACCACGGTGTCACCTCGGTGCCACCTCGGTGCCACCTTCCAGAGGTGCTGGTGGTGAATCCCGCCCGGCTACATCCCGAAAAACCGCAGCGGGAGACCCCTGGGATCATCCCATTCCCTTGGGATCACCCCATTCCCTTGGGATGGGTGCCAGGGGTGCTGTCACCTCCGTGCCACCCCCAGCGGTGTCCCCAAGGCCTTGGTGGCACCTGGTGGGCGAAGGCCTCGGCGTGGCAGCGCAGGTCCTGCTCCAGCTCCAGCTGCTCCAGGGCCTGGCAGTAATCCTGGGTGACAATCTGGGACACTGCGGGGACAGCGGGGTGGCACCGGGGAAAGGGAGGGGAGAGGGGTAGGAAGTAGGGGGAGAAGTTTGGGAAATGAGGGGAAAAGGGGTGGGAAAAAGGGTGGGAAAAAGGGTGAAAAATGGGGGAGGAAAAGGGGGGGGAAGTGGAAGAAAAGGATGGAAAAGGTTTGGGAAGAGGGAGGAAAAAGGGGGGAAAAGGTTTGGGAAATTGGAGGAAAAGGGTGGCAAAGAGGTGGGAAAAGGGAGGAAAAGGTGGGAAAGGGGGGAAATAAGGGGTGGGAAAAGGGGGAAATTAGGGTGGGAAAAGGGAGAGGAAAAAGGGGGGAAGTGAAAGAAAAGGGTGGAAAAGGTGTGGGAAAGGGGGAAAAAAGAGGTGGGAAAGTGGGAGAAAGGGTGGGGAAAGGGAGAAAATGGGTGGGAAACGGGGTAGAAATAAGGGGGACAAATGTGGAAAAATAGGGAGAAAAAAGGGTCGGGAAAGGGAGAAAATTGATGGGAAAATGGGGGGGGGAAAGGGGAAAAAAGAGTGGGAAAAGGGGGAAATGAGGGTGATGCCACCACGGGCACGTGGGCACGGCCACCTGGCGTGGGTGGGGACAGCCGGGGCAGCTGCCAGCTGTTGGTTTGGGGTGGCACTGGTGGCACCGGGAGGGGACACGGGGACCCTGCTGACCTCTCTTGAAGGACCTCAGTGCCCTCTGGCTGGCGGCCAGGGCTGCCCGCAGGCGCTGCTGCTCCTCCCGCTCCAGCTCCAGCTGTTCCGGGAAAACACGGGAAAATATGTGAGAAATCCGGGAAATAGCCGGGAGAAAATAAGTGAAAAATCCATGAAAAAATTCGCAAAAATCCGTGAAATATCCGGGAGAAAATCTGGGACAAATCGTCAAAAAATCTGTGAAAACTTCGTGAAAAATCTGTGAATGATCAGGGAGAAATCCAGGAGAAATCTGGGAGAAAATCTATGACAAATCGTGAAAAATCCAGGAAAACTCAGTGAAAAATCCAGGACAAGTCTGGGGGAAAACCAGGAAAAAATCAGTGAAAAATCCGGGAGAAAATCTAGGAGAAATCCACAAAAATTTCAAGAGCAATTTCGTGAAAAATCAGTGAAAAATCAGTGAAAAATCCGGGAGAAAATCAGAAAAAAAAATCAGCAAAAAATCTGCAAAAATTAGCGAAAAATCAATGAAAAATCCCACCCTGAGCCCTGGGACATTTTTGGGCTTAATCCCCAAAATCCCAAAATGGGAAAGGGGGGTTAAGGCCAATTTTGGGGTACCTGGGTGTGCAGGTGCTGCAGCTGTGCCTGGAGGTCCCGGTGATGTTCCAGGAGCTGGGAGAGATCTTCCTGTGGAGCTGGGAGAAAAGTGGGAATGAGGGGTGGGAAATTGAGGGGTGGGAAAGGGGGAAAAGGGGGAAAGGGAGAAAAGGGGGAGAGGGGGGAAAGTGGGAAAGGGGAAAACAGGAGAAAAGAGAAAAAGGTGGAAAAGGAGGAAATGAGGAGTGGGAAATGGGGGGAATGAGGAGTGGAAAAGGGGTAGAAAAAGTGGGAAATGGGGGGAAAAAGATTGGGAAAGGGGGAATTGAGGGGTGGGAAATTGTGGGAGTGGGGGAAAGAGGAAAAAGGGTGGGAAATGGAGGGAATAAGAGGGGTGAAAGGGGAGTGGGAAATGGGGGGGAATGAGGGGTGGGAAAGGGAGATAAAAAGTGGGAAATGGGGTGGGGGAGAAAGGTTGGGAAAGGGGGAATTGAGGAGTGGGAAACTGGGGAGAAGGTTGGGAAATGGGGGGGGGGGAAAGTGGGAAAGGGGGAAAAAAGGGATGGGAAAGGGGAAAAAAAGGGATGGGAAAGGGGAAAAAAGGGATGGGAAAGGGCAGCTCAGCCCTCCTGGAGCTGGGCACCCCTGGTCACCCCATCCCAGCTGTGTCCCCCATATCCCGACTGGAATCTGCCTCCGCAACGGGATCCAGCGGGAATGGGCTGTGACAGCGGGGTGGCACCCCCGGGACACCCCCAAGGATCATCCCAGCGGTGGGATCAGGGAATTTGGGATGTTCTCACGAGGTCCCGAGAGCAGGAAGTGGCACCTTGGGAAAAGAGGATGGGAAAGGGGAAGCACGAGCGGTGTCGGCGACTGCGGTTGGATTTCGGTGTCGCTTTCGCTTGATTTGACCCAAAATGGGGCTTGGGAATGGCCCCAAAGCTCGGTGTGGGGACAACCTGGGATTTGGGGACACTGGGAGGGGACAGTGGGACAGGGATGGGGTGGGATCCTGTTCCGGGGTGGGATTGGGTTGGGATTGGGTTGGGATTGGATTGGGATTGGGTGGGATGGGATGGGATGGGGATGGGATGGGATGGGATCCATGGGATGGGATGGGATCCATGGGATGGGATTGGGATTGGGTGGGATCGGATGGGATGGGATGGATTTGGATGGGATGGGGTGGAACACCCCAGGCTCACCTGGGAGCTGGGTATGGGTGGGTGGCTCCTCCGGGGGCACCTCCGTGTGTGTCACCTCCTCTGGGGCCACCTCAGGTGTCATCACAGGTGTCACCTCCTCTGGGGTCACCTCAGGGGTCCCTTTGGGGCTCCTGGCCAGGCTGAGCCTCTCCAGCTGTGCGTTCTCCTGCTCCACCAGAATCCCAGGATTGGGGTTCCCCCTGCACTCCCCGAGCCGGGCGTGCCCCGAGGGTGCCCCAGCACCTTGTCCCCACGAAGGGACAGCTTTGGGGACCTGTCCCCATCCCCACCTGGGCACTGAAGGCCTGAGCTCGCTGCCAGCACTGCTGCTCCAGCTCCACCTCGGTGTCCAGCGCCGCCAGCTCGGCCAGCAGCGCCTGCGACGCTGCCGGTGACACCGGCGGTGACACCGGGGGTCAGGTGCCACCAGCGTGTCCTGCTCATGGCCCGCTGTGCCCAGAGCCCGGCCAGGGGGATTTACCCCAGAGCCTGCGGGGGGCCAGGGAGGTGCCGGCGACATTGGGGACACTGGGATGGGACAATGGGAATGGGACACTGGGATGGGACATGGGGACGGGACATGGGGACGGGACACCAGGAAGGGACAGGGCTCACCTTGCTCCAGCTCGGCCAGCCGGCTCTCGGTGTCATCTGGCACTGGATCCAAGGGTGGGTGCTGTGGTGGGAAAAATGGGAATGAGGCTCTGGGTCGGCACGGAATTCCGTTGGCATGGAATTCCATTAGCATGGAGTTCCATCGGCACAGTATTCCATCGGTACGGCCATGGCAAATGTCACCGTGTTGGCACGGCGTGGCATTGTCATGGCACGGAATGGCCCTCGGGATGGAATTCCATTGGATGGAATGGCCGTTGGGATAATGCCCTTGGGATAGAATTCCATTGGCACTGTTTGGCAGTGGCACCGCTTTGGTGCAGAATTCCATTGGCAGGCATTCCACCAGCGTGGAATTCCATCTGCACCAGCAGGGCATTCCATTGGCATTCCATCATCATTCCATTGGCATTCCATTGGCATTCCATCATCATTCCATCGGCATTCCATTGGCATTCCATCATCATTCCATTGGCATTCCATTGGCATTCCATCATCATTCCATCATCATTCCATCATCATTCCATCATCATTCCATCGGCATTCCATCATCATTCCATCGGCATCCCATCATCATTCCATCATCATTCCATTGGCCATCCCTGAGCCTCCCGGACACCCCCAGCGCCGGGGACGCTGTTCCCCGGTCACCCTGGAATCTGGACATGGGGCACCCCCCGCTTCATCCCCCCAATTTATGGGATCAGGAAGGAGGAATCCAATGGAAAAGGAGCCTGGAAGCGATACCTGTGCAGGAGCTGCCTCTTCATCCTCCTCCTCCTCCTCCTCGCTGCTCCCGGACTCCAGGATGGCTGCGGGGACCCGAGCCAGGACAGTGGTGACACCAGGGGTGACAGTGGGGGACAGGACGGTCCCTGGCACCCCCGAGTGTCCCCTCTGCAGAGGGGGACGCAGCCCTGGGGTCCCCGATGTGGCACTGGGGACATCCCTTATCCCCAGGGTCCCCAGCTCCCCCTGGACCGTTCCCCGCAATCCCAGATCCAGTGGTGAATGCTCTTGGGAATCTGAATCCCGACCCCTTTTCCCAGACCGGACCCTCTCCCCAGCCAATCCCCCAATCCTGAGGAGAGAAAATCCCCCCCGACCCCAAATCCCACCCCCCAAACCCCACTGGTGACCCCCCAAAAATCCCCCACGAGGTTCCCTCTTACCCGTGAGGTGTCCCCCGACTCCGTCCCCAGCCCGGGCCATGCCCAGGGCCCCCCAAACCCCCGAGATCTGGGGGTGCCTCCCTCTCTCCGGCGCTGCCTCCTCGTTCCCCGCAGGGAAGTGAAACCACCCTGCCCTCCCTCTCCCCTCCCTCCTCCAGAGAGGCCCCGATCCCAACGGGGGGAAGCGAAACCCACAGCAGGATCTTGGAATTTTCCACGGGGGTGTTTTCCCCTAAAACACAGAATTATGGGGTTCTGGGGAGCTGCAGCTCGGGCTGGGGTGAGGGGCTGCTGCTCCAGGGTTTCCCAGGGTGGGAATTCCTTGGCCATGGAAGGAAACATTGGAGCACGGAAGGCTTTGGTGACCACGGTTATTTATTCACCGATAAAAACAAAGAGATTTTTCCCGATTTTAGGAAGGGGGATCCAATTGTAGGAAAGGGGGATCCGATGGTAGAAAAGGGGGATTTGTGAGGATTTGGGATCACAGGGCCGTGCCCTGCTCGGGCGCCTTGGCCTCGCGGGGGTAGAACTCGGCCAGGATGTTTTCGGGGATGCGCTTGAGGAGCTGCTTGGGGAAGATGCGCAGGAGCTGCCAGCCGATGTCCAGCGACTCGAAAATGCTCCGGTTCTCGTAGGGACCTGCCGGCGGAGCGGGGCGCAGGATTTGGGGCTGCTGCAGGGGCTCCCCCAGATCCCAAATCCCCGGTTTAGGGCCGGGGGCTCACCCTGGGAGATGAAGTGCTTCTCGAACTTGTGCAGGAACTCCAGGTAGAGCAGGTCGTCGGCGGACAGGGCCTCCTCGCCCACCACGGCCTTCATGGCCTGCACGTCCTTCCCGATGGCGTAGCAGGCGTACTGCGGGATCCAGGGATTCCACCCATGGATCGGGATGGGCACGGACCCCACAGCCTGGCCGGTGCCACCAAGGGACACTTCCCACCGGCCTGGGTGGCTCAAAGGTCCATCCCAACCTGGCCTTGGGCACTGCCAGGGATCCAGGGGCAGCCACAGCTGCTCTGGGAATTCCAGCCCAGCCCCTGCCCACCCTCCCAGCCAGGAATTCCTTGCCAAGATCCCAGCCCAATCTCCCCTTTGCCAGTGGGAGCCATTCCCTGTGTGCTGTCCCTGCAGGCCTTGTCCTCAGTCCCTCTGCAGCTCTCCTGGAGCCCCTCCAGGGACTCTGAGGATTCCCTGGAATTTTCCCTTCTCCAGGGAAACATTCCCTGCTCTCCCAGCCTGGCTCCAGAATCCTGGAATGGGACCTTAAATCCCATTCCATTCCACCCCCATCCATGTTTAGGAACACCTTCTCCTATCCCAGGTTGCTCCTGTCCAGCCTGGCCTTGGACATTTCAGGGATTTGGGGCAGCCCCAGCATTCCTGGGTGCTGTCACTTTCCCTGGATTTTCCCCACATCCCAATAAAGGCAGCTGAAGATTTGGGATTTAGAACATCCCATGGAGCTCAGTGGGATCCAAGCCTGAATCATCCCAAAATCAGAGCTCCTGTCTGGAATCCCGTGGCCATTCCTGGGGCTCTGAGCTGTTCCCTTCTCCAGGAGAACATTCCCAGCTCTCCCAGCCTGGCTCCAGAGCAGCTCCAGCCCTCAGAGCATCTACAGAACCTCCTCTGGAATTGCTCCAGCAGCTCCACACCCTCCTGAATTTGGGATCTGGGAGCAGGAGCAGCTCCACAGGTGCGATCTCACCTGAGCCTCCCAAGCAGGGACAGGAGGTCCCTGAAGTGACAAACGCCCCCCGAGTGTCCCCAGGCCCTCACCAGCTGGTTGGACACGTCCCCGTGGTCCTTCCTGGTCATTCCCTCTCCGATGGCCGATTTCATCAGCCGGGACAGGGACGGCAGAACGTTGATGGGAGGGTAAATCTGTAGGGTGGGAGCGACCCCAGTGTCCATCCAGCCCTGGGGATCCCCACCCGTACCCCCAGCACCCCCATCCCGGTGTTCCCGGGTGGTTTCCAGCTCCGGTGGATGCTGGGTCCATCCCTGGATCCATCCAGGATCCATCCCTGGAGAGGAGAAGGGGTTTGGGAACGAACCTGGCGGTTGTGGAGCTGCCGGTCCACGTAGATCTGGCCCTCGGTGATGAAACCCGTCAGGTCGGGGATGGGGTGGGTGATGTCTGGGGTGGGGGGACAAAGGGCTTGTGAGACCCCAAAGTGGGGCTGGCAGCTCAGCTGGACACGGGACACCGCTGTGCCACATCTGTGGGGTCACCGGGGCAGCGCAGCCCCCACTGGGGTCAATAGGGGGGTTTGGTGTCACCCCATTACCCCAGGGTGACCCCAAATGGGAGGGGATGGGGTGGTTGGGATGGCACAAAGGGGTTTGGATGTCACCTCCTTGTCCTGGAGCCACCCCAAATGGGAGGGGATGGAGTGGTTGGAATGGCACAGAGGGGTTTGGATGTCACCTCCTTGTCCTGGAGCCACCCCAAATGGGAGCGGATGGGAGTGGATTGGATGGCACAGAGGGGTTTGGGTGTCACCCCATTGCTCCAGAGTGGCCCCAAATGGGAAAGTATGGGGGTGCTTGGGATGGCACGGAGAGGTTTTGGTGTCACCCCCTTGTCCTGGAGCTGGGACCCCAAATGGGAGGGAATGGGATGGTCGGGATGGCACAGAGGGGTTTTGGTGTCACCTTCCTGTTCTGGGGTTGGGGACCCCAAATGGGAGGGGATGGGATGGTTGGGATGGCACAGAGAGGTTTTGGTGGCACTCCCTTGTCCCAGAGCCAGGGACCCCAAAAGGGAAGATATGGGGGTGGCTGGGATGGCACAGAGGGGTTTTGGTGTCACCTCCCTGTCCTGAAACCGAGGACCCCAATCAGGAGGTGTTGAGGGCTTGTTGGGGACATGGGGAAGCCACAGACCTTAAATCACCCCAGCAGCGTCACCACCCCAGGAGCTCCCAAAACCGGGTAAAACCGGAGCAGTTTGGGATTTCCCATCCCTGCGATTTCCCGGAGTGGGGAAATCCCCATCTCCCATGGCATTCCCGTCCCCTCCCGGTATTCCCGGCCCCGCCGTGTCCCGCTGACCGTCGTTGGGCATGGTGAGGATGGGGATCTGGGTGATGGAGCCGTTCCTGCCCTCCACGCGCCCGGCGCGCTCGTAGATGGTGGCCAGGTCCGTGTACATGTAGCCGGGGAAGCCGCGGCGGCCCGGGACCTCCTCCCTGGCTGCTGACACCTGTGGGGTTGGGGCGTCAGAGCACCCCAAACACCCCAAAAACCACGGGAGGCACGAGGGACACGAGTGTCCTGAGCAGCCCAGGTGTGCTAGGGTGCCCCAAGCACCCCAAAAAACGCCAGGAGCTTGGGAACCCCAGGTGTGCTGGGAATTCTGAGCACTCCAGACACCCCAAAAACCCCAAACACCTCAAAACCCCCAGAAACCACGGGAACCCCAGGTGTTCTTGTCACTGTGATCACCCCAAACATCCCAAGGACCCTGGGAACCCCAGATGTCGTTGTGACCCTGAGGACCCCGGGGACCCCAAACACAAGTGTCCTGAGCAGCCCAGACACCCCCAAAAACCCCAGGTGTGCTGCGTATCCCAAACACCCCAAAAAACTCGAGAACTGTGGAAACTCCAGGTATGATGAGGATCCTGAACACCCCAAAAACCCCAAGAAGCTTGGGAACCCCAGGTGTGCTGGGTGCCCCAAGCACCTCAGACACCCCAAACACCCCAAAACTCCCAAACACCCCAAAAATCACGGGAATCCCAGCTGTCCTTGTCACCTCGATCACCCCAAACACCCCAAGGACCCTGGGCTGTCCTTGTCACCCCAAATCCTCCAAGAACTCTGGGACTCCCAGCTGTCCTGGTCACCCTGAGCACCCCAGGTGCCCAAATGACCCTGGGCTGTCCCTTGTCACCCCAAATCCCCCAAGGACCCTGGGACTGCCAGCTGTCCTTGTCACCCTGAGCACCCCAAACTCCCCAAGGACCCTGGGCTGTCCTTGTCACCCCAAATCCTCCAAGAACTCTGGGACCCCCAGCTGTCCTGGTCACCTGAGCGCCCCAAATCCCCCAAGGACCCTGGGCTGTGCTTGTCACCCTGAGCACCCCAAACCTCCCAAGAACCCCAAACACCCCCAGCTGTCCTTGTCACCCAGACCACCTCAAACACCCCAAGGACCCTGGATTGTCCTTGTCATCCTGAGCCCCCCAAACTCTCCAAGGACCCTGGGCTGTCCTTGTCACCCCAAGCCCCCCAAGGACCCTGCGCTGTCCTTGTCACCCCAAACCCCCCAAGGACCCTGTCCTGTCCTTGTCACCCCAAACACCCCAAGGGCCCTGGGACTGCCAGCTGTCCTTGTCACCCTGAGCACCCCAAACACCCCAAGGACCCTGTCCTGTCCTTGTCACCCCAAACACCCCAAGGGCCCTGGGACTGCCAGCTGTCCTTGTCACCCTGAGCACCCCAAACACCCCAAGGACCCTGTCCTGTCCTTGTCACCCCAAACACCCCAAGGGCCCTGGGACTGCCAGCTGTCCTTGTCACCCTGAGCACCCCAAACACCCCAAGGACCCTGTCCTGTCCTTGTCACCCCAAACACCCCAAGGGCCCTGGGACTGCCAGCTGTCCTTGTCACCCTGAGCACCCCAAACACCCCAAGGACCCTGTCCTGTCCTTGTCACCCCAAACACCCCAAGGGCCCTGGGACTGCCAGCTGTCCTTGTCACCCTGAGCACCCCAAACACCCCAAGGACCCTGTCCTGTCCTTGTCACCCCAAACACCCCAAGGGCCCTGGGACTGCCAGCTGTCCTTGTCACCCTGAGCACCCCAAACACCCCAAGGACCCTGTCCTGTCCTTGCCCAGACCCTGCGGCCACCCCGCGCTGACCTCGCGCAGGGCCTCGGCGTAGGAGCTCATGTCGGTCAGGATGACCAGCACGTGCTTCTCGCACTGGTACGCCAGGAACTCGGCCGTGGTCAGCGCCAGCCGCGGCGTGATGATCCTCTCGATCCTGTGGGACACCCCCAATTAGCACAACTGGGTTAATTAGCCCCTGCAGGGCAGGTTTGGGGTGTCAGGAAGGCGTGCAG